CCTTTGCCAGGTGTGGCTCCACGAGCAGTCCGACCTGAGGATCGAAGGCACTGAGCGCACCGGGTTTTTGGTTTTAGGGCTTTAGGGGTTGAGGGGTTTAGGATTTTAGGGTTTTAGGGCTTTAGGGGTTGAGGGGTTTAGGGTTTTAGGGTTTTAGGGCTTTAGGGTTTTAGGTGTTTTAGCGGTTTTGGGTTTCGGGTTTTAGGGGTTAAGGCTTTAGGGTTAAGGGTTTAGGGCTTCAGGGGCTCAGGGTTTTGGGTTTAGGGTATCGGTTTTGCGTTCGTGGGTTTGGGGTTTGGGGCTTGCTTCGTTTTTTTTAGGGGTTCCGTCAAGTCGTACCCTAAGCGCTCAGCTCAGAGATCCATCCTTCTAAACCCGAACCTCCCGACCTTAAATCACTTAAACCTTAGCGCCCTACTGCTTAACTCATCCGACAAAAAAAGCCCTTGAATCAGAAGATACTCATAGTACTTTTTCGTACAAAACCACATTAAATTAAGCATATCAAGGCCCCTGTATCATGGTTAAGAAACCCCAACTCCAGAGAGTCAGTGAGAGCTCTGCACCCGTCCGCACCCCCTGCACGGCTCGGCGCCAGGTAGAATCCTGGGTTTCGATGAGTACATGAGCCCTGGCGAGCCAACTTTCCTTCGGCTCTGCGAGTGTCGTTTAGTTACGCTTGATTAGTCTCCCAATAGCTAGGTTCCCCAGTAGTACCCTTTTGCCCTTTTTCTGTTTGGGTTCCCTTATTAAAACCAAGTAGTAGGAAAAAGGGTGCCCTTATTATTAAGGGGCTACTGGGGAACCTAGATAGTATGGCGGGCCTGGCTTGCACTGTTAACTACCTTGATGAAAGCAGTCGAAGAGAACCCAAGGCCTTTTTCCACTATCTGGAACCTGTGTCAAAAGACTGAGAGGCATGAGACGCTACTTCAGATCCTTACGAGCAAGATCTTGTTGATGAGACCGAACATCTTAAACCCCCAAACCCAGGCCCTAACCCCTAAACCCTGAACCCTTAATCCTGACGGACACCTGGAGAGATTTTCATGTAGGTCCGAGATTTGACAGCAAGATGGCGTAGATTTGAGAGCCCACACTCATAGAGGTCAGAATTCGGAAGATTTTAGAGACGGGGCCTCAGGGTAAGGGCTTCGAGTTTGGGGTTACGTGGTGTGGTGTTATTAGGGACTTCGGGTTCAAAGTTTAGGGGTGAAGCCCTAGAGCCTTTAGGGTTTAGGGTTTAGGGTTTAGGGTTTAGGGTTTCATTACGCGGTTGTCAACAGAAGCAACGGCTCTAAACCCTAAGCTTTAATTCATAAAGCCTAAACCCTAGACCCTAAACTCTAGACCCTAAAAAAAACAAAGACCTAAACCCTAACTAAGCTTCGAACACATTGCAAAGCCTACAGCCCTAACCATAGAGGCGAACTCCTGTCGTATAGAAGCCACATAGTTACCAATGTTATTCCTTAGGGTTTAGGGTTTAGGGTTCCTTATTATCGCTATACTGTAAAGGAGCCCCCAAACCCTAGTCTTATTATTACGACCCCTACATTACCAACTAGCACACGTTCAATCCTACGCCCAAATAGACTCTAGACCATCCCATATCGTTAACGCTCTTCGGTCCGACCCAAGCCCCAACCCGATTGCACAAAGCACTGCACCCTCAGCCGAGGAATTTGGTCATCGATGACGCAGAGGAGCTGTCGGGAGGGCGGCTATGACGCTTTCCCTGCCGTTGTAGGGTTTAGGGTTTAGGGTTTTCCCTGCCGTTGTAGGGGCGGTTTCGGTTTTCAGCTTGCTCTGCTTCCTCCTGAAGAAGGAATCTCGAAGCCCTGTTCTTGTCGTGACTTGCAAGTGAAGAACAGCGGTGAGGAGGATTGCGAACCTGAGCTCCAACAAGGTATCCCTTTGATCCTGTAGGGTCCGTCTTTAACAAGTTTAGGGCTCAAGTTAGGGTTTAGGGTTTAGGGTTTAGGGCTTAGGGTTTAGGGTTTAGGGTTCAAGTTGATGGCTCTTATTCGGGTTCGACATGTGTCCTGCCCCCGACATGCCACACCCTAAAACCTCACCATGCATACCACACCCTACCCATGAAAGCGCTAAACCGCTAAACCTCAGCTGTTCAGTATGGTGCTATGAACCTTAAACCCTAAACCCTAAACCCTAAACCCTAAACCCTAAACTCGAAACCCTAAACCCAAAAGGGTTTAAAAAACAAACAAGCCCTACAAGCCCTTTGAGTCCTCAAGCCTTCTAGGCCCTAAACCCCTAAACCCCTACAACCTCTACAGCCTTAAAGCCCTAGAGCCCTAAACCCCAAACCCTAAACCCTTAAGCCCTAAACCCTAGAGCCCTAAACCCTAAACCCTTAAGCCCTAGAGCCCTAAACCCTAAACCCTAAAGCCTTGAATCCCTAGAGCCCTGAGCCCATGGGAGGAGATCATGGTCAAGAAGAAGACGCGCCGTGCGATTGGCCGAATTCTACTCAAGGGCGACAACATCTGCCTCATGATGAACACAGGCGGGGACGTGCAAGGTTTCAGGGCTTTAGGGTTTAGGGGTTTTATGCTTTGGGGTTTTAGGGTTTTGGGTTTTGTGCTTTAGGGTTTTGGGGTTTAGGGTTTTGTGCTTTGGGGTTTTGGGGTTTGGGGTTTTGTGCTCTAGGGCTTTAGGGTGTAGGGTTTACACAATTGGGGCTTTAAGTTTTTGGGCTTCATGATGGACACAGGTCGTGTCTGGAGTTTAGGTTCTAGAATGTGTGAATCAGAGGCAAATGCTCCATGCTCTGGGCTTCGCAACGCAAGACTTGAGTATCAGTGCTTCTTGATCCATGTCCAAACCCTAAACGCTAAACCCTAAACCCTAAACCCCAAACCCCTAAACCCTAAACCATTTTTTGAGAGACTTCAATATCAGTGTGTTGGGCTTTTGGAAAGCAGGAGGGAGGTTGTGGAGTCTGTGGGTAGCCGACACCCTGAATGACTAGAAATCCCTAAACCCTAAACCCTCAACCCTAAACACCCTAAAAGCCAGCCCGGAGGCCTCAATGCCTAAGCCCAAACGCTAATCTCCGAAACCCCTAAACCCTGAACCCGAAACCCCAAACCCTAAGCTCCAAACAACCCCTAAACCCTAAACCCTAAACCAAAAACCCTAAACTCCAAACAACCCTAAACCCTAAACCCTAAGCTCCAAACAACCCTAAACCCTAAACCGTAAACTCCAAACAACCCTAAACCCTCTCTTACCTATATATATTTAAGGTTTAATTGGTCGTTTCAAATGTCGTTTTGATCTGGCTTGGTCAATTCTAATGTCGTTTTCAAGGCCAATGGTCAATTCTAATGTCGTTTTCAAGGCCAGTGGTCAATTCCAATGTCGTTTTCAAGGCCAATGGTAAATTCTAATGTCGTTTTCAAGGCCAATGGTAAATTCTAATGTCATTTCCAGGTTCGTTTCCAAGCTGGGCAATTCTAATGTCTTTTTCAAGGCCAATGGTCAATTCTAATGTCGTTTTCGGCCCGGCTTGGTCAATTCTAATGTCGTT